AATTCTTCTGTGTCAAATTACGGCCCTATTTCGCTAGCTCATTTCTAGCCCCCTATTCTCTTTTCCAATTATTTCTACTCTTTTTCCCATTCCTTATTATTTTGCCTTCTGTTCCTTCCCTTTTCATTCCTTCTCTCCTATCCCCCCTTCCACCAGCCACCCTCCCATCCACCCCATCCCTCCCGCCCTCCCTCCCTCCCTCCCTCTCTCCCTCTCTCCCTCCCTCTCTCCCTCCCTCCCTCCCTCCCTCCCTCTGTAATAATGCCCCAACAGGGCAGGAGGAGACAGATTACTTGTGAATAATAAATCCATAAATCTCCAAAAGAGGACCGGGATTACAGGCCTGACTAGTGGGTGGAGAGGAGGAGACCAGGGAGATGGGGAGGGTGGGGAGGACCTATTACCTAACAGTGTCTAAGGGGGAGTGTGGTATAGCTCTTTATGCTCCTTGAGTACTGGCCTTGGTATATATATATATATATATATATATATATATATATATATATATATATATATATATATGATATCCTGATGCCCCTGTTACCTTGCAGTAAATAGGTACCTGGGAGTTAGACAGCTGCTACGGGCTGCTTCCTGGGGGTGTGTAACAATAAAGGAGGCCTGATCGAGGACCGGGCCGCTGGGACGCTAAGCCCCGAAATCATCTCAAGATAACCCATCATTAGGTTTAGAGAGTCGAGAAGAGTCCCTCCTGCTAGGGGGGGGGGGGTGTTTGAGAGCCCCCCTCCAGCTAGGGGGGGCTGCTTGAGAGCCCCCCCTCCTGCTAGGGGGGGCTACTTGAGCCCCCCCTCCTGCTATGGGGGGCTGCTTGAGCCCCCCTCCTGCTAGGGGGGTGTTTTGAGCCCCCCTCCTGCTAGGGGGGGCTACTTGAGCCCCCCCTCCTGCTATGGGGGGCTGCTTGAGAGCCCCCCTCCAGCAAGGGGGGGGCTGCTTGAGAGCCCCCCTCCTGCTAGGGGGGGCTACTTGAGCCCCCCCTCCTGCTATGGGGGGCTGCTTGAGCCCCCCTCCTGCTAGGGGGGTGTTTTGAGCCCCCCTCCTGCTAGGGGGGGCTACTTGAGCCCCCCCTCCTGCTATGGGGGGCTGCTTGAGCCCCCCTCCTGCTAGGGGGGTGTTTTGAGCCCCCTCCTGCTAGGGGGGGCTGCTTGAGCCCCCTCCTGCTAGGGGGGCTTCTGAGAGCCCCCCTCCTGCTAGGGGGGGCTACTTGAGAGCCCCCTCCTGCTAGGGGGGGCTGCTTAAGCCCCCCCTCCTGCTTGGGGGGGCTACTTGAGAGCCCCCCTCCTGCTATGGGGGCTGCTTGAGCCCCCCCTCCTGCTAGGGGGGCTGCTTGAGCCCCCCTCCTGCTAGGGGGGGCTGCTTGAGCCCCCCCTCCTGCTAGGGGGGGCTGCTTGAGCCCCCCCTCCTGCTATGGGGGGCTGCTTGAGCCCCCCTCCTGCTAGGGGGGCTGCTTGAGCCCCCCTCCTGCTATGGGGGGCTGCTTGAGCCCCCCCCCCTCCTGCTAGGGGGGGGCGTGTTTGAGACAGACTTAACCAACATAATTACCCTCAAAAGGTCATCATTTTAGGGCGGGGCATAAAACCGGCGCTGAGGACCGAGCCAAATTCTCGTAAATTCAGCCTCTTAACAAAGGCGCTCGAACTGGGAATACAAATGGGAACTACGTTATCGTGGGGGGGGGGGGAGGGGGAGGGAGGGGGTGGGTCTCTATGGGTAAGTTTATGGGGGGGTCTCTATGGGTAAGTGTAGGGGAGGGTCTCTTCCCCCACCACCCCCACTCTGGGACCATTGTCTTCCTTGTCTAAACTGGTCGAGAAATGGGTGAGGGAAAGGGGGAAGAGAGGAGGAGTCTTAGGGATGGAAATGGGGATTGGAGAGAAGGAGAAATAGAATGGGAAGGAAGATCCTGGGAAGGAAATATAGGGGGTTATCTTGAGGTTATCTTGAGATGATTTCAGGGCTTTAGTGTCCCCGCGGCCCGGTCTTCGACCAGGCCTCCACCCCCAGGAAGCAGCCCGTGACAGCTGACTAACACCCAGGTACCTATTTTACTGCTAGGTAACAAGGATGGAAGGATGTAATTAATTTTGTCAATAAAGATGTTAATAATAATAAGGAAAGGATGTAGAGACAAAAGCATGCTGGGAGAGGAAGAGAGTTAAAAATATGATAAAAATATATGAAGTTTAGGAGGGAAAGAGAAGAATTATTGATGAGTTGGTGATTGATCTTAGGACGTATTTACGACGCTCTGGATGATTGCATGTAGAAGTACTTACTGCTCGAGCACGGGTTAGGTTATCTTGAGGTTATCTTGAGATGATTTCGGGGCTTTTTAGTGTCCCCGTGGCCCGGTTCTCGACCAGGCCTCCACCCCCCAGGAAGCTGCCCGTGACAGCTGACCAACACCCAGGAACCTATTTTACTGCTAGGTAACAGGGGCATAGAGTGAAAGAAACTCTGCCCATTGTTTCTCGCCGGCGCCAGGAATCGAACCCAGGACCACAGGATCACAAGTCCAGCGTGCTGTCCGCTCGGCCGACCGGCTCCCCGGTCGTGGCTAGTTTGTGGTAATCTAAAACTACAAATCACTCTTAATCCTCCCTCCTACCACAAAGTACCGGTAGCGTACCGGTAGCAAGACCCCAAACCATACCGGGACACGGTCAGACAAAGGGACCACAAAGTACAAGCGCAGGACTCGTAATTCTGTGGCGCGGGTTCGATTCCCGCACGAGGCAGAAACAAATGGCCAAAGATTCTTTCACCCTGAATGCCCCTGTTACCTAGCAGTAAATAGGTACCTGGGTGTTAGTCAGGTGTCACGGGCTGCTTCCTGGGGGTGGAGGCCTGGTCGAGGACCGGGCCGCGGGGACACTAAAGCCCCGAAATCATCTCAAGATAACCTCAAGATCTCAAGAAGAAAGGGGGGTCGGACAGGCATTATGGCCCCCTAACTTGTGGGCTAATGGAAGCGTGTCTTTAAAAGGTAGGAAATCGCTTGCCCATTCAGCTATTAAGAAACGGCTGGCTGCCGTTTTAATGGTCTCGGAGACTTGGGGTCTTTATTTGGGAAGACTCTGCATTTGTATTGTTTTCTGGGAGGGGATAAGGGAGGACTTTGTAAACAAAGCCGCCAAAGATTGAGAAAAGACAGGTTCGTAAGTGCTTGCGTAACTGCTTCGTGAATCTGGCCCAAGGTTCGCAAGTGCTTGCGTAACTGCTTCTTGAATCTGGCTCCAGGTTCGTAAGTGCTTGCGTAACTGCTTCGTGAATCTGGCCCCAGGTTCGTAAGTGCTTGCGTAACTGCTTCGTAAATCTGGTCCCAGGTTCGTAAGTGCTTGCGTAACTGCTTCGTGAATCTGGCCCCAGGTTCGTAAATGCTTGCGTAACTGCTTCGTGAATCTGGCCCCAGGTTCGTAAGTGCTTGCGTAACAGCTTCGCGAATCTAGCCCCAGGTTCGTAAATGCTTGCGTAACTGCTTCGTGAATCTGGCCCCAGGTTCGTAAGTGGTTGCGTAACTGCTTCGTGAATCTGGCCCCAGGTTCGTAAGTGCTTGCGTAACTGCTTCGTGAATCTGGCCCCAGGTTCGTAAGTGCTTGCGTAACTGCTTCGTGAATCTGGCCCCAGGTTCGTTCGTAAGTGCTTGCGTAACTGCTTCGTGAATCTGGCCCCAGGTTCGTAAGTGCTTGCGTAACTGCTTCGTAAATCTGGCCCCTGGTTCGTAAGTGCTTGCGTAACTGCTTCGTAAATCTGGCCCCAGGTTCGTAAGTGCTTGCGTAACTGCTTCGTGAACCTGGCCCCAAGTTCGTAAGTGCTTGCGTAACTGCTTCGTGAATCTGGCCCCAGGTTCGTAAGTGCTTGCGTAACTGCTTCGTAAATCTGGCCCCAGGTTCGTAAGTGCTTGCGTAACTGCTTCGTGAATCTGGCCCCAGGTTCGTAAGCGCTTGCGTAACTGCTTCGTGAATCTGGCCCCTAGCCTCATGTCAATGAGGCGCAGGGAGGGGAGTCACATTCATGTTAACATGACTGAATGTATTCATGTCTGCCATTCACAGGGTAGCAGTAGGGCAGAGTCAGAGAAAGAAAACGGAGTACTGGAGGTCATACGTGTGTCTGCAGACACTAAGAACTATTAAAAGAACTCCCCGAATAATGTAAACAAACTATTGATAAATGACGAAACAAGCGTGAGATAGTTGGCTCCATTCCCCCTTTGCCCTCGTTTGGGAGGGAGGGAGGGCTGAGTCACGTGGCTACTTTCCCTTCAGTTGTAAATGCAACCCGACTTCTTAAAAATAACGTCGCTTTTCGCAGGTATGCGCACTATGGCCAAAAATCGACGTAATTTGAAATGAAATCGGCTCATGAAAATGATGTGCTGTCCCGTTTTCTGTTTGGGTCCTCTAGTCTGTTAGATTTGGAGAGGACACTATTAATTAAAGTTTTTCATGACGTTTTGAAAGTTTAGGGGAATTTCCTGCCTTCCTAACCTACCAGAAGATCCTTA